AATTTAAAGGTAACCACAACCCAATTTGTGTTCTATATATATATATATATATATATATATATATATATATATATATATATATATGGCTCAGTGGTTAAGGCGCCAAATTACGGACTGGAAGGTCCGTGGTTCGAACGTCAGCATCTCGACTGCCCCTGCCTGGGTTTGGGCAATGTAGCAGTATTTCAGCTCTTGTGCCTACTCCCATTGGTATGGCAGCTAGGCACCGAATAGGTGATACATCGGAGCGATTTTCTCAGTGTCCTTTGTGCTCCACCACTTGTTAATCAGTTTGTTCAAAAAGGCACTTTTCGTTGGAATACCTGGAAAGTAAGGAACCGTCGCCCCATTCACTGCAAAACTGTATGTGAGCCGTGCCGTGTAATTTTGGGATGTGCGAAAGATTAACCAGCGAGTCGTTTATGCGAAATTTTTCGTTAAGGCTGACTGAATGACGAGTGGATACGCAGAAAGTAAATACAGTCACCCAGGTTGGATATCACTTGCATACAGTGCATTCATACTGCAAATGTCCTGGTGAATGTCTGTATCGTCACTTTTGGATAGTTACTAGGACTGCACCATTCTCTTCGACTGTTGCCTTGGCTCATTCTTTTGTTCTTTTTGCTTCTGCTTCTATTGGCCGTCAGAAACTGGTGGGCCTTACATTCTATCTTGTCTCTAACAGTGTCATTGTGTGCTCACTCCTATGGGTGCATATTATTCAGTAGTAGACTTTCGCGCAAGTTCAGTCCCAACAGAAAATTTCATAACCATCCTCTTCAGCCTATTCACTCCTATGTTGCTTGAAGCTGTCCTTCAACCTCGGTTTTGAAACGCCACTGAAACCTTCACATGTAAACTTTGAGCGTACACTTCCTGAGTTGGATCACTCAGAAAACCGAGTCATATGTACATTCTAGGCAACTGTCACACGGTTTGATTTGTGCCTCGCAGCCGCAAGGTATAAAGTACCAATGAATAACTGGATAGAATTAGTTGTTACTTTCTGCTTGTGGCTTAACCGGTCGAATAATTCATTTACGTGGATGGCTACATAAGATTCATTTTACTACTGGAAGGCAGTTTCGTCTGTACAATCGGAAGGATCGAGTCAACTTTTACCAACTCCTGACAACGGTAGCACTAGCGTGACTTCCGCCTATCTGTCAACGGCAGCATTCATTCGGCATCAGTAGTGCATCATTTTTGGCGGCTGAGCGCCTGTATGTAGTACTGGTGTATTGCTTTCAATGATATTTCTTCAGTGCTGTCTCACGTGACGTTCGCTATTACATTTCTAATGGTGTAACCATCTTGGGGGAAATGAGTGACGCAGTATAATACATGGTTTCGTGGTTTTGTAAGTTCATGGCTTATAGTTCATGTTCATGGGATTGACGTTCCCTCGTGAATAATAAGAGTTCCATTAGACGGACAGAGTAGTACATCCTTTCATGTGTCTTCGTTTCAAGTCCTCTTAGCTTTTAGTCGCTGCTCCTGTGGTACCCATTTTCATCATAAGTTCCTAAACTGCTGGACATAATGCCCGCTGCCGCGCCTCAAACTAATCTTATTCAGAACCCAACAGTCACTGACTGATGTTTTTATCTTTTTTGACAGAACCACACCTGGGGCATGCTTATACACTATGTCTTGCGGATGCCTGGGCTCGTTACGCGGAGATTCGAGGGCATCCTGCCCTGTCTCCTTTCAGTTATCCGTCAACAAGTCGTTTGAAGTCTCTTGTGAAGTCCAATGTGCCGCCACAGAGTCTATTGTCTGCGGGAACTGATGAGCACGGGATGAAGGTTTGCCGCCTTAATTGTTCTAAATTTCGTCTAATCCGTGAATTTGAGTCGCTGTTCTTCCCAAATTTCGTCTAATCCGTGAATTTGAGTCGTCCTCACCTTCTGTTTCTCGAACCAGAGGTATTACAACTTTACGGAGTGCACTGAGTAACTGTTTGATAGTTTTTTGTAAGAGGAGCCTTATCTGCGGATAATATCTGGTCGTACTATGAGAGGTCATACACCTTGTTGACTCTGTTCATCCAAGCGAAAACGTCCCGCCGCGTTTCTTGATAGTTATCAAACAAGTCACTCTGCCAATTGCCTGATATGAATAAATACCAATCCTCGTTCACTGCGCTCAGATTTTGAGCGGACTGAGATGTCATGAACTTACCGTTTTCCATCCCGAGCATTTTTTCGTTGATGTCCGTGTTTGTACCTTACTTTGTGGGAGTTAAGTGTTGGTTTTGCCAGCCATCTGGTAACCTAACTCACTCAACGATTCTTTTGAAGTAACCGCTAAGTACGGAATGATGTGTGCGCCTTGATCCGACCTGGTAGGGAAGCTAAGCGCTGCTGAGGCCCAATCGGGTGGTCGTCTGGCGGAAACGTCTGCTTCAGAAGTGTACCGATCACAGATCGTTCGTTTGTAGGATTAATATTCGGAACAACGGGAACCGCTTGACCACGTGGTGCCTACCAACAAACCAGCCCGGGATCCAAGTAGACCACATCGCCATTAGTTACCGTTGGCGAGAGTCGGTCGCTGCCTACCGATCTTTCTGAAACACTAGTGTGGACGCAGACCATGTATTTGTGCACTGTTGCCCTTCAGATCTACGTAAAACGCACACACTTTGTTCATCCATTGAGAGGCTGATGGACCCGGAATTCAAACGAAATTTCCAGGGCCGGCTCCCCGAACGTGTGCCAGACGGATGTCGGATATAAACGATCACTGGAAAAAGATATTCAAAGCACCACTCAGAGCTGGGATTTTAATTCGGTATACGACCCACCCAACCTTATCCAAACATTGGATCTCTGGTAGGACCGTGGCTACGCGGGAGCCCTGGCGACAGGTTTCCAGTGGCCGCAACCACAGCTCAACTTGACGCATCGTCCGAGGCCAGGCAGAACGAAGTGTCCGCTCAGACCCCTAAGGTTGGTTGACCCGAAAGACCGAAGAAATAGAAGAGACAAAATAAGCTGGGAACATCCGTAGGCTGCTGCACTTGATTCATTCAACTGGTTCTCGGAAGCGAAACTATTAGAGAGGAGAATGGCTCTCCGGTATCCAGCAAAGGAGAACGTGTGGACCGCGGGGTCCAGCACTTGAAGCAACAATTCAGTTGCCTCAAATGGCTCAGTGGTTAAAACGCGAATCCGATTTCTGCCTCTTGACTTCCCGTGTTTATGCTTGGGCAACCTGGCAGTATTCCAGCCATCTTGCTTCCTTCGGGTGGCATGGCAATTAGGCACCGAAAGGGTGCTACAGCTGAACCATCTCCAATCCTCACTGGTCGCCTTCAACAGAAAGGTGGACTGTGCACATGGAACCCCCCTCCCTCAGCCTCAGAAGTGTCCGGGTTTATATCCTGCAGTCAAGCTTTATCGTGTTCCTGGCTGTGACAACCTTCCACCCGCTCTGTTCGAAGATGGCGGCGAGTTCCTCAATCAGTGTCTGTCCAGTCCCTCTGTCTATTTGGGAGAAAGAGACCGCTCCAGGTAACTGGTGTGAGTCGACAATAGCGCCCATTTTCAAAAACGACCCTCTTGGTGAACCTGGTAACCACAAACGTGTTAGTTTAACTCTCGCTGTGACACGGTTTCTGGCATCACTGATTCTTCGGAGTCCTACAGTGGCACGCGAATCTTTGACCCGTGAGAATCAAGTGGGATTTCGACTGGGTAGAGGCTGTGTCGACCACATCTTCACACTCCATCAGGTGTGTACAAATAACCCACAGTCATGGTATTCCTTGACTTCAATAGTGCGTTAGATTCTGTCGATCAGTCAGTAATGTTAACCACACTTGCTCAACAGGGTGTGCACCAGAAGCGAATATTGTCCGGTTCCTATATTCATGCACTTCTGGGCATGTGGAGGTATATGGCGAGCTCTTCAAAAGCCTACGTACAAGGAGTGATGTCCGTTCTCTCCATTCTTGTTCAACTTCGACACTGATGAAGTATTGGGACACACTGGAAATGCTTCAAAACTCCGGTTTTCGAATGGTTGCTGGTGAGAACTTTGTCGTTCTGGAATACGCAGACGACATTGCTTCATCTTTGAAAACGAAGGCGCAGCACAATTTCTGTTGAATAAACTGACCACCATCATACTAGTTTTCGGCATGCGCCTAGAACCTTCGAAGTGCAAAGTCATACTTCATATCATGCAGTTTCCGAACATGCTTCTCACAATTCAAGAAGAATCACTGGAGGCTGTAGAGAATTTCACCTACCTCAGTAGTTCTGATGGAAGTGTGCCTGATGAAGTTAGTGCACGAATCTCAAGGGCCAGAATCTCGGTTGCTAATTTGCTTCACTTGTGGCGTCAAAATAGCATATCGCTGAGTCTCAAAGGTCGCGTATCGTGTTACAGTAAGGGCTGTATTGCTGTTCGGTTGCGAAACATGACCGCTGAGGACATAATATGAGGTGTCTTCATTTTTTATCATACCGGTTACTCAGAAGATTGCTGGTGTCGGACGAGGTAATTAGAGGTAATTAGAAAGGGCACATAAGGTTATGCAATAGATTCTTCAATCGCCGAAAATATCCAGCCGAAACTCCGTATACCCAGACGAGCGTTGTTCTCCGTGTCTCCTTCAGAATGGTGGACAACGTATGACTTGACAGAAAGGTGTGAAAGGGAGTTACGAAGAGTTTGGGTGTTGTTGGTGCAGTACGTCTTCCATGGTGGGTACCCTTGGCCTCCAATGCGCTTGGCTATAGACATCACAAGAAATGGCGGTTGATCGATGTCAGTCTCTTCCCAGATTGTCTGGCTGAATGCTTGGGCGTATAGGCACTTCAGAATGTTTGCAATGGACCAGCCCCAGGTCCTCTCCTTTATCCACTCTTTTCTCTCCTTTTCACCCTAAAGCTTTAAATTAGATAAGGCTTGTGGTTGTACAGCAGTGAAGCATCAGTGTCAACACTGTTTTTTTTGTGTGTCTGATGATGATGAATCGCGCCTTCAAATTCCGTTCCTACAACTTGATAGTATTCACTTGCCTCGATAGCTTGGTCCACTGGTGAGTATTAATGTTGTTTGACAACCACTGCCTATTGTTTGGCCCTCGCAATTCAGTGGATGTTTCCAGAGTATTGGGTTCGACCCGCGACTGGTGAATGTACTACATCCTGGTTCACTCAACTCATCTCTTGTTATGAGCACACCGCTTTCGCTACTCTCCAAGAACGCATATCATCACCTATGCGGCTACTGTGGCAACTGCGAGACGGCGGTGACTGTAACAGTGGTGTGGTTCCCTTTCTGTGATATTCAGAGGCGTGCGCCTTGTTTGAGTTCCCTGGGCTGTAAATTGACAAGCAGTTGGGCCTCCATTTGCTTGCAGCAGAACAGTAAGAAAAGCAGTCCTCAGAATGCAGTTGATACGATCTTGTTGGAGCTGTGAAAAATGCAACGGGCAGTTGGTACTCACTACGATCCCATGTTAAGTAGTGTAAGCCACACCAGACGAACAGCCGCGAAATCAGCCTCGAATGAGAGGCCCGAGTAGGATGTTGATTTAACCTGACAGTTTGCAGAAGGTTGTACTTGAATCGACAGCGCATAGTCGGTTATCTCCGTGAGTAGGGCTGTGCATTGAAAGGCCTGTCTGTGCTAATAAAACAGATTTCCTTTCTGAATATTTTGTTTCTTTCAAGTGCATCGAGTAGTTAACTCTTGAGATAACCTGGACCATACACACCTTGGCCTAGTCCTTCCGGTATGTTGCTTCAACTATTTTTCGAGGTAACTCGACAAATAACGACGACATCGTAGTGTATGCTTTCTTTCCTAATTCGTTTTGTAGCATTCAGTTCCCCGACATAATTACGATACCTCTACCTTTCTTCCTAATTTCAACTCCTTTGGACAGGTTAAGCTGGCCGCTCAGAAAGCATCGCTATCTCCCAAGGAATACTGTGATCAGATTTCACCTCTGTTTCAGGTGAGTCCCGCTCTTAACATCTTCAGGCATTAGCACTACTTTCATTCATTCATACATGACTCCGATGTACGTACGGGAGAAGCTCGAATTAACGAGTACTCTCTGCTACTTTCGCAGTCAATTGTCCTTCCAAATCAGTATCCCTGTTCAAATAATTCTTCTTAGTCTGTATCGGATAGACGCTATGGTGCTTCTGTCCAATCTCAGAGGGTGCGTTCCGCGTAAAATACACAGATGAGCATGAAGTTCATAATCCTCTAGGAACTAGTGACTGTATATCCGCTGTCCATATCACTATCATGTAAGATGCTCCAGTGTCGGGTTTAGACGATAGTTGTCAGAAATTAAGGGGAAAATTGTTGTACATGCCGCTTATGGAGGTTTTGAAATTGCCGTCCAGTAATTTCCACCCAACCCCCTGAACGCGTTACCACTTGCCTGTCGATTTGCCCACAGTATCAAGCACCTGTTTTTGTACTTCCCTTCAGTTGAGCCTAAAGAGCTTCTTGTCTAATGATAAGTTTGCTGATTGGGTACTATGAATTCATGGGTTAACAGAATAGATGGTTTAATTAATCCATAGCGCTCTGCTAAAGAGATGAAAATGCAGTTAGCGTGATAAGACACCTTTTACATGCATTACTGCCTGCCAGATTCGTTGGTCTGATGCTCGCGAACTTCGTTCTGGGTGGCCACTTCTGTCCTAAAACTACACAGCCCGAAGTAAACCTCGGTCAAGTTAAACCCCTACCGTCGGAAGCGGGTCAATCTAGCTTATCGATGAATGCCTATATTCCAGCCTTCTGAAAACCCTGTATTAACATCTCTCCCTCTGTCAAGGAAGCTAGCACAGAATCAGTTATTTGCCGTTAGACAATGCTTCTTGCAGAACGTTTTCGGTTTATTTCGATCAAGAAAGGTCACCAACATGAGTTACAAGCTACTATGGTTGTGTTTCAAGCCGGAGTTCCGAAATCAGCCCGTATCACCCTGGATTTCAAAATTATCTCTTGGAACTTTTGGTGTCCTTTATCATTCGCTCTTAACCGCTCTGCCGCGAAGAGACTGGATTTTGGGGTGGTCGTGGTTTAATTAATCCATAGCGCTCTGCTAAAGAGATGAAAATGCAGTTAGCGTGATAAGACACCTTTTACATGCATTACTGCCTGCCAGATTCGTTGGTCTGATGCTCGCGAACTTCGTTCTGGGTGGCCACTTCTGTCCTAAAACTACACAGCCCGAAGTAAACCTCGGTCAAGTTAAACCCCTACCGTCGGAAGCGGGTCAATCTAGCTTATCGATGAATGCCTATATTCCAGCCTTCTGAAAACCCTGTATTAACATCTCTCCCTCTGTCAAGGAAGCTAGCACAGAATCAGTTATTTGCCGTTAGACAATGCTTCTTGCAGAACGTTTTCGGTTTATTTCGATCAAGAAAGGTCACCAACATGAGTTACAAGCTACTATGGTTGTGTTTCAAGCCGGAGTTCCGAAATCAGCCCGTATCACCCTGGATTTCAAAATTATCTCTTGGAACTTTTGGTGTCCTTTATCATTCGCTCTTAACCGCTCTTCCGCGAAGAGACTGGATTTTGTGGTGGTACGACGTACCTCAGTAACCCTATTATGCCGTATTGGATCATGGTCGAGCAACATCCACAGTCTGTCCTATCGGGTTAGTCAGTGGATAGAGTTCTGGCAAACGCAGCCTACTAACTCTCCAGGTTGGGGGTTGGGACGCGTGCAATAATTTGTTCCTTAAAACTTAAGGCACTCGAGTAGCCTCAAATCAACCACCGCTACCTCGAAGTCAGGCTTTTGAACCAAAGACTGGTTGAGAACTTTAATCGTCCTCCCGTTTAGGTTCTAGCGCCCTGGTAGTATCTCACCCCATATACAACCATGAAATTTACACACAAATGTGCCTTCATGCCACATCGGCCGTCGCCTGTTGGTATCAATCGGGTCGCCTCATTCTCTACATACAGCAGGGCGGACAAGCGAAAACACGCGACTGCTTACGCTTCCCATTTAGTTGGCAGTATGTATTATTGGTACTGCTGCCAATGATGATGAGAGGATGACGGAGAGACTGTCTCAAGGGGAGTGCATCATTTGGACTGAAATTATCTTTTGTTTGTACGCCCCGTCATACTCGAAACCACTTTACTTTGGTTGCCAAACTAAAACGGCAATGCCATATATCCGTTCAATTACCGTTTATTTGAACGCCATCACTACCACTGAATCGGTACGAAATCACAAGTGAGAGTAAGGCGTTCATAGTCGCATTTGGCGACAGAAGTCATCTATCTAACTGACCATCATACGTGCATCGGGAATGGACGAACTCATGAACTCGACCTAGTTAGACGTTCCTTTTTGCTCGTCTTTGATTCTAGACGATGTGAACGTCAACTCACTGCCAGTGAGTGTATTTTATCAGTTGAGTATAATTTACTGGTCAGGTCCATGGAGAATACGCCTGACTGATGAATTTCAACAGGAGCGAAACTGGTCGTGGGGTTTCGAAGTGTCCTTAGCAACCTTAGGAGTAGCGCGTTCCGTGAAGAAAGCTCTGACACATTAGTGAGACACAAGCGAATTCCAGTTGAGTCTCCTATTCAGGATGCTCTTCAGCTGAGCACAAGACGACTTCTTATTTCAGTCGGTATGATATTCGAGATATCACCGTCTATTTCCCCAACGGAATATATCAGTCATGAATTGCTGAAAACCCTTCGTACCAACTGAAACATGAGGCAACCTTTGTGCAGCGCATTCAGCCATTGAAGCGGAAGATTCGACTGGATTCATTTGGGTCTTCCGCTAGAAACAACTTTCGCCAGTTGCGTACGATTTCCTATTCAAGTAGATCATGAGATTCAACAGGAACCGTATAATATATTTGGCTTCATATCAGTTGGCGCCTACTCCAGCTGTAGAGATAAAGACTTAAAAACTGCTCAAAGGGTGTGCTTTAAAGGAGGGTGCGATTTTGGACGTTCGGTGGTTGCACTGCTTAACTTCCTTCATTTGTTTAGTTTGACAAATTCTGAAACTCCCGTTACCCTACTGGATAGTTTACACGGAAGCGAGACTCTGAAAAAAGACTCGGAGTGCACTTGTGTCTTATTGTTGCACCTAACTAGATTATATGTACACAAAGTTTACAAACGGGAGTATGCCCTGACTTTTACACTTGTGCGTGGTCTAAATAGACGAAGACGCAGTGATAATTGCATAATGCGAGTTGATTACATCCCATTCATTTTCAGTCACTGTGCGAAGTGTTTTCAGTCAATGTAAAGGATTTTATTCGTACCACAGAGGATCGACATCGTCATGCTGTGGAAGAGTTTTGGGTGAGTAGCGTTGATCTTTGTGGTGTTCAAATGGATGCTGGTGCATCTAAACTGCCGGTTTTGATTCTGTCCGCGTAGCTCCCTGGTTTCAGTAGCGTCCGACCAGTGTTTTGTGCTTTGCGGATCGATCTTTGTCCATGTCACTACTGTTGACGTTCTCTGAGGAAAACTAAAGTCCAAGATTTCGATGGTCTGCTGTAGGCCACCTTACGACTGCCTACTTTGTTCTAATTCTTTTTATCTGTGTTTCTTTTTGGGACCCATTTCGTCCCACTTTTCCCCGGATGGTGTTCGACTGTGACGAAAAGTGAGCCGAGTTTCAGTCAGCTCCGTGTGTGGCACGTTGAGCAGACAATGGAATAACGCTCGAAGCGAATTTCTGAGTCGTTCATCCTCCAACAGGTCTTTCTTTTTAGCGTCGCTCCTCAAGATCATTTTTTACGATCCTTCTTGCTATCGATTTTGTATGTTAGGATGGTCCAGTCCTGGATAGTAAAGCAATGAGGGAATAGAACTCGAAATTCACAGTTAAAGCTAGCTTCCTGGTTTGTAGACTTTCCTGGTAACCGTAAAATTAACACCTTCGGGCGCAACACAAAATTATAGGACCGTTTCCTTTCTTAGACCGCTTCGAAGGTCGTCCGGCATACAAACAAGTGATTTACACCTTGAGACACGAAATTGACCTTATGTTTTCACCCCATGTTATTTGAGTGCTTTTCATATTGCTCAACTTCTTCGTATGCCCACTACGCACACTTGATAACAAAACAATGAGCTAAACATGAAGCAATTTTTATTACTCACTTTAGCGACATTTGGATAAGAGTGGCCAGCTGTATCAAGCCACCTATGCTGGCTGGTATTCCACTTCCGACGAAGCTTTCTATACTGAGCGGGAGCTCACACAAACAAAGCCATCGGTTTCTGTCCAGTCATCTACGAAATCTTCACCCACAATACCTACCGTAGACAATGAACCCGTCTACGTGGTAACGGAAACCGGAAATCCTGTGGAGCGGGTAGAAGAAACCAATTTTATGTTTCGTCTGACTTCCTTCAAAGACCCCTTACACAAATGGTTGGATTCTGGGGGTTAGTAAGTTCCGCTCACCCCTCCTCCGGGTGATCAATTCTACTCTTAAGATATGGTTTGGGATATATTATATACAGGATAGCCTTCCTATCTTGTTTTCTACTTTTTCGACAGACACGATACACTTGTATATGATGGTTTCCACCATCAGAGGTCCGTGTGTTGCCCACTCAACGATAACCGCTTTTTTCTCGAACTCAGCTTCTTTTACAATGTATTTGAATCCTGTCTGGGTAGATCACCTGAAGGGGCTACTCGAAAGTAGTTTCTTCCGACAGCTGGTATTCTCCCTTAGGCGGAACAATAAAAACGAGGATTTTTTGAAAGCACCTTTTTTCAGTGCTATTGTTGGTCAGCTACTCTCCTCGCTTAGATTGAAGTATTTATTGCACCCAAATTCTTACAGTTTTTCATTGATTTGAGGTGATTCCGCCAGAGTCATCTTAGTAGCCGTCACGTCGCCTACACCCACTTGATTTCAACAGTTATCAATCCCCGGTAGAAGTCAAATGAATCATTTTATTTAACAGAAGTCACTCTTGAAGAATACCTTCCACACTTTGCAGATGAACACTGCTTTATAACTTCTGGATGATGTTATGGTGGGACTTTGAAATGCTCAGCGTCATCGTCTTTCTACCTACAGAATGCCTCTTCGGGTTCTGTTCACATTGTTACCACACTCGGTTCAATTAGAAAGAACGTTTTTTCTTTACCGAGGTCGATCATCAGTGCGACTATTCACCAGCAGTAAGAATGTTCTGGTCAAAAGTCGATTAAAATCATGTCAGCCTTTTGATTCCTGTCTTTTCTCAGATTCCCGGACATCGTTACTTCCGGGTAGGATCCTAGTTGGAGTTTGTTTCAGTGTTTGGCCACCGCCATCCTCTGAGCACCACTCGAATCCATTGAGAAAAGCTAATCAGCAACGCTAATGGTTCGTACAATTAGAGACTCGAGGCTGGACATATAATAGCGCTTCAGTGCTTGTAACATCTCATCATCGAGTGGCTGTACTGCTGAAGTCGAATGGTGATTTGCTGATGGCCAATACGTACAGCACCTTTTATTGTTATGCCAAGAGTGTGTTTCTGAGCGCTTGCAGCTGACTCTCAAATAGCACTGATCCCTTCCATCACAGCCGATGCAAGCGGTGAATGTTGGACACGGCAGCATACTTCATGCTGTCGGTAGCTGATCTTGTCTGTATTTTATCGTTATACTCTACATATGACTTCGTTTGGGACAAATTAACCCGCATAACTCACGCGAAAGCACTTTGCATAACGGATGACCTTAAGGAACACCAAGTTAGCCGGTAACAAGCCAGACAAGTAAAGTTGAACATTTTTTTGGATTTTGTGAGGGCGTTTTAATCAAGTTTATTTCAAAGCTGATATGGGGTCTGATCCAACGGGTGATCTTTCCTGGGTCCTCAAATTCATCCGAAGCTTCAAGAAGCCAACCAGAAGTGGGCTCTTTTGAGGGTGACAAATGTAATTAAACGGTCCAAGTTTGTCGACTGTTGTGAATCTTGAGCCGATGAGCTGCCAGTCAAATAACGTCCTAAACAGTTTGTGAATCGTTCATGCTCACTACGACTCCATGGTGGTGGCGCAATATGTTCTTTATATTCCTAATAGTTCCTTTGGAGAAAAGTACGTCGGCTAGACAGTTTCCACTTCATTTCATTAGTCTATTCATCTTCGAAAAGTGCTCCCAATAGGATCAGAAAAGCCGTATTTCATGTTTGTTCAAGTGAAACGCGCATTAGGTCGAAACTCGGTTCAAGCTGTCGCACATCCCATGTGACATCCTCTTAGGAATGCTGGTGATTCCGGATTAGTACGTTAAATTTGACCCCGTTTAGTTCACGTGGGAACCAACAGCATGCCAAATAGCTATCAACTTGTCCGGTTATGTAATAATATTGATTGATCGCTACGTACCAGTGTATAATCTAGTCATATGCGTTGTCCGTACATTAAGTTTCGTAGTTCCCGTTGATTGTCGAGTGGAAAATGCTAGGCCATGCTTCAAGTTGCATGTGTCCTCATGTGATCGCATTCCGTAGCGGAAGCCCTAATGTCACGTGAAGCGGAAGATTATCTTTCATCCTTCCATTTCAAAAAACAGCAAGCTGTTCGTGTGTGTACGATAGACTTACTGGTCAGTCAGCAGAGCCAGCTTGTTCTCGCCCCCGACTAGCTGAGAAGCCTCCTTGGTTTACTGAACAGTGAGTGATTCTGACAGCTTTGTCTTAATGGCATCAGGACAATTGTCCTGCACTTAACATTTCCTCACCAAATATGTAAATCAAATAAAGTTAATTACAGCCAGGATTCGCTGAAGGTACCCTTCCCAACACCAAGTTCTTAATACCGTCCCAGTAGAAGTGTCGTTTCCATTCGTTTGAAGTAATAGATTGGTGTCGGAAGCTTCGAAAGTTCAGTACTACTTACTTGTCCCTAGATTTGACGACAAATCTACTGAAAAATCGCTGTCCATATGAATCTCCCTGTTCTCTTAGTCCATTAACTACTTAGTTTTATGTGTCGCGGATGACGGGCACGTCTCAACAGGTAGGTGGCAGCATGTTGCGAAATTAACCAGTTGTACTGTGCGAATATTATTACTGATAACTGTTTAGCCTTGACACCCTTCCGGTGCTTAGCTGCTGCGCAACTCGAATGAAGCACAATGTTTGAGGTACTGCTAGTCTACCCTCGGCTAGACAGAAACAATCCGAAAGCTAGGGTTGCTTTGGAACCAGAAGTTTGCCGGCTCGTAGCTTCGCGTTCCATTCAATGAACTACGTCACCTAGGTTTTTTCGTCGTGTCGTCAGTACACCCAGAATAATAAGTGAAATCAGTAAGTTGGCGAACGAGCACCCAACATCGTTGTCAGCTGTAATAACCGCGTACTCGTCGTACTGTGGTTGTAGCTGCCACAGTTTCGTTCACCGATTATGTGGGGGGAGGGGGAGGTAGCTGCGCATTGCAGGCGGGAGCTGATACATTGATGC